TGCGCTTCAACTCGCCTAGGGCTCCAAAATGGCTACAGCCAGCACTGTGACAATGATCTGAAGTGCAGCTTAACTTTCATAAAAGAACAAGATTATGGTGTTCAAAGGAAGGTGCATGACCGACATGATTAAATACAACTCAGGGTTCTGTGTTTGATGCGCTGTAAAATATGTCTAAACTTGAGGCAGCTAACAAGTTTTACTAACTAACATCAGTTCAGTAGCATAACCTGCAGCATCAGACAAAGGGTATGTGTCAATTAGGGGTGGGAATCTTTCACTCTCTCACGATTCGATTTGATGCTGATTTTGGGGTCACGATTCGATTCAAAATCGATTTTTCATTCAAAAATGATAATGTGAGCCCATTTGTTGTGTTCCCAAAGAGCAAATAAATTTTAATTTTGCAACCCTTGCACACCTCGCTCATGTCAAAATCTGACTCCGTCTGTCTGTCCATTTTCTGCTGCTTATCCGGGGTCGGGTCGCGGGGGCAGCAGCCTAAGCAGGGAGACCCACACTTCCCTCTCTCCAGCCACTTAGACCAGCTCCTCTGGGGGAAATCCCAAGGTGTTCCCAGGCCAGCCGAGAAACATAGTCCCTCCAGCGTGTCCTGGGTCTTCCTCTGGAACACCTCACCAGGGAGGTGCCAAGGAGGCATCCTAACCAGATGCCTGAGCCACCTCAACTGGCTCCTCTAGACGTGGAGGAGCAGCGGCTCTACTCTGAGTCCCTCCCCAATGACTGAGCTTCTCACCCTATCTCTAAGGGAGAGCCCAGACACCCTGCAGAGGAAACTTATTTCAACCGCTTGTATCCGTGATCTCGTTCTTTCGGTCACTACTCATTGAGTAGTCCTCAAAGTTCGTGACCATAGATGAGGGTAGGAACGTAGACCAATGACAGACCGGTACAGCGCCCACATCACTAAAGACGCAGCACCAATCCGCCTGTCGATCTCCCGCTCCATTCTTCCCTCATTCATGAACAAGACCCCGAGATAAACTCCTCCACTTGGGGCAGGACCTCCTCCCCAACCCGGAGGGGGCACGCTACCATTTTCAGACTCAAGACCATGGTCTGGGATTTGGAAGCACTGATCCTCATCCCGGCTGCTTCACACTCAGCTGCAAACCGCTCCAGTGATAGCAGGAGATCACGATCTGATGAAGCCAAAAGGACCACACCATCTGCAAAAACCAGAGATGTCATCCTAAGGTCACCAAAACAGATCCCCTCAACAACTTAGCTGCGCCTAGAAATACTGTCCAAAAGGTTATGAACAGAATCGGTGACAAGGGGCAACCTTGGTGGAGTCCAAATCTCACCAGAAATGAGTTTTTCAGTAAAAAACAAAATGAGCCCAATTCTCAACATTTAATGAAGACGGGATCAGTTGAATCTCTATTTCCTCCAGTTTTGTAGTTTCCTCTTTGTTTTGGTGCTTTCTGCACATTCATATGTTCCAGAAGCAGCTGTGTGATGGCGACAGGACGTACCACGTAGTTACAAAATGGAGGCTGACAGCCATTGGGTTAGCTTTGTTTGTTTTTTATTCATAAAAAAATTGATTTTGGGATATTTTAAATAGATTCTGAATCTTTGTAAATAAAAAGCGCGATTCTAATGTAAAATGAATTTTTGGTGCACCCCTAGTGTCAATGTGTTTTCAAGTTTTTAAAATGAAACGAAAACTCTCTTGTGAAAATTTATAACATATAATGAAATTCATAGGTTTAATAA